CACTGCCCTGTGTCAGCTTTTACCCTACAGAAGGAAACCAGTGTTTTATCATGCTTTATTTGTATGAACAATTTAAGAATATCTAGCCATTGCTTTTTTCTCCCCACCCTCCTTCCCGTGCTCCACCAAGAGAAAAGAGAAAGGCATTCATTTCCTTAGGCTTTTTATTTTTATTTTTTGGATGAAGACAATTTGAAATACATATACTTACTTCCAGGTGTTTTTTTGTTTCATATGGGACTGAATTGGGCTCAGACTTGTTTTTGAGCTCTGTGGTAAACTATCACTGTCTTCTGAGTGCCTTGCTGGAAAGGGGGCTCATGACACAGAGTACCACAAGGTGCTGGGGTTGTTAATGTGACCTTGCTGTTTGGTGCAGGAATACAAAGTCTCCAGCTGCGAACAGAGACTCATCAGTGAAATCGAGTACAGGTTAGAAAGGTCTCCGGTGGATGAATCGGGGGACGAAGCTAAGTATGGGGACGTGCCTGTGGAAAATGGAGTGGCACCATTCTTTGAGATGAAACTGAAACATTACAAGATCTTTGAAGGAATGCCTGTAACTTTCACATGCAGAGTCACTGGGAATCCAAAGCCAAAGGTAAGCCGAAAACATGGCTTTTAGGAGTCATGTCTTCTGAGGAGGAGTTTAGCTTCCAGAATGCAGCATGTGTGGTAGGAAGAGAGAACAGACTACCTTTCTCAATACTCATGATGTAAAATGTCTGAAGTACTGTAAGTTTAGGGCCATCTTCAGGAGGCATCAGAAACCAATAAGAGTGGAGTTTGGGTTTGAAGAATAGAATACAACAGAGTAGAGCAGTGTACAACAGAATAGAATAAAAACAAATAACTGACAAGCCGCCTTTCATATGCCTATCCTTTACTCATGTGATGTCATCATTGTTACTCCCAAATTGCAAATGACTAAACTGAGCTTACTGAGACTAATGAACTTTCCCAAGGTCAGCGAACAGGTGCGTGGCCAAGGCTTGAACATGAACCATGCTCTGTACCAGACAGAAAGGTATACTCCCCACTGATGATAAAAACTTCAGATCTTTAATCTACAAAATCAGTAGTTACAATCAGAGGAACAGCTGAAAGGAGGAGGCTGAGCTAGCTGGAAGCCCGCTGCCTGCAGACACATAGATACGCTGATAAAGAGTTGTCCTAGCTTTACAGGGAGACTAGAATAATTGCTCACTAGTCCAGCAAAGCAATAACAGCATTACACTGTTCCCTAGAAATAGAGAAAAAAAAGAGTAAAAAAAAGACACCCATGAGAAGTTAAAACTTCAAATTGACACTATCACATGATATGGAGCCAGAAGCTGAGAAATTAGTAGGAAATCTAGTCAAGGATGATTAAAACATTTAGGTTTCTGGTAGAAGCAAGCAAAAAATGGTTCTGCGGACTTTCACAATTTGAGGCATGTCCGACTTCCACAGGATAGGAGGGAGGAGGAATGAGTTCCCGGTAAAAACTTAGAAACCGTATGAGGAAATACACAACAAGGAGAGTCGATAGCACAAGACAGGAAAATTGAAGCCCAAGTATTACATAATATTGGACAATCTTCAGGAGACTATTAAATAACTTTTTAAATGAATAGAAACTTTAATGAAAGAACAAAATAGTACCAAAAGACAAGGCAACTTTCTAAAATAAGCATATAGAAATGAAAAATACACCCACTGAAAGTAAAAGCTTAAGAGTAGTGTCACAGTGCTGAGCTGAGACTCAGTCAGATGGAAGCAGGGAAAGTGGTTTGATAGAACCTGAAACTCCCATGTTCAGTTTTGTTTTCTCAGTAAGGTAGGCTTTACCATCACATTCTTTCCCTAAAACCAAATTTCCAGCCCCATAGTCAGAGAAACATAGGGCAAAAAGAATAGCCTTAGATTTTCAAACGCATATCTACCTCCTAATAAAATGAGACTTAAACACTGTTGTTAGGAAAAATCTTTATTATATTTTTGGCATAATTTGGATAATTGCTGTGTATTCACAAACATGATACCAAATGCATGTATTAAAAATAAATTTGCAGGGCAGCCAGTTAGCTCAGTTGGTTAGAGCGCAGTGCTTATAACACCAAGGTTGCCGGTTCTGTCTCCACACAGGCCACTGAGCTGCGCCCTCCACAACTAGATTGAAACAGCTACTTGACTTAGAGCTGATGAGTCCTGGAAAAAACACACTGTTCCCCAGCAAAAAACATAAATAAAGTTGCAACTTATGAATGAAACTCTACAAGAAATTATATCTTGAACTCCAGAATACTCACAAAAAGATCCCATGTTATTTTTAAACCTTACTTAGGCTTAATTAAGGTCACTGATGAAATTCTAAGATTATTGATTCCTGTTCTTAAAGAATATATGCTTACTTGAAGATGGGCTGTTGTTCTTAACATAACGGTGTTTTTTCTAGTACAAATTTAAGTGTTTCACAGCTTTAAGAGAATTAAGGACTTTTTATTGTTAGATTTTGTTCTTCACCCTTCCTCCCTCATTTCCTCATTACCATTCTTTTTTTTCCCTCCTTGGTTTATTAAGGAATTGTTTCCTCTGCACATGTTATATAAATTATATTAAGATGATTAATGTATGGAATATCCATTATGTTTTTTTTAAAATCCTTTTTTAGCATTTTTTAAAATTTATTCTGCCCTTGACATGTTTGCTCTAATTGAGACATGAAAAAATTGTAAAGAATTTCTAATTCAGTTTTCATTTCTTGCACCTGCCCCTTCCCTCTTCATTAGTAAGCTGGGTAAAATTTTGGAACCGTTTCTTAATTCTCATTTGAAAGTTTTATTGCAAGTATAGTGGAGATGAAAAATATGATTAGAGGAAAGAAATAATTCTGAAGAACTGGCATAGTAACAGAATGCAAAAGGAACAAATTGTGTACTAATCAAAGCTTCTTTGTTCCATCAGAAATTATCCAACAACTAAGTGTGTGATAATGATGAAGTATCATGCTTTATATAATTTAATTTTTTAGAACCAAACATTATTAGTCTAGTTGATTAATTTTTAGGTTATTGAGATGAATAATACAGTTTCTGTATCTGGAGCTAATTGAGAGATAGGGGTTGGAATAGTTCCAGCAGTCAGCTCCTGATTATTCATGTATTTATTTAATGCTGTATATTTCAGGCTTTTCCTACTGTAAAAATGGACTTTTCAAAAAGACTTCAGATTCAAAGGCTTTGACAGGCTTTGACAGGGAGTTGAATTTGAATGTTAGTTGTGGTCTCATTTTGCATATTGATTTATATTAAGGAAAAAGTTCACTTTAAAATCTGAAGGCAATAAAGTTGGTTTCTTCTGCTGGGAGTCAGTTAGGAATGCTTTTGGCTGCAAGGAACAAAACTGCCAACAGAGCAGTCATTGTGGCTTAAAAATGGGTGATTAATTTTGATCCCTAACATTAAGTCTGGAAGTGGGTTGATGCAGGCATTAATTAAACTTCTCAATCATATTAGGGCTGCTGACACTGATTCATCATGATGGCCCTATTTTTCAACTATGTAGTTTGTAAACTAAGTAAAAAAATAAATCATGAAAGACCCATGGACAGTGATTTTGTTTAAGGTGAGGGGAGAAAGGAAGGCTTATTACAGAAGAGGTAGTTTGACCATTATTATTTTTTTTAAATTTGGTTAAGATTCCTTTTTACTTTAATTACTTTTCACATTTAATTTTCTATCAACCAAAGTTAAAATATTACTTGAAAATTATTACACATTTAAATACTGTTGTGTTTTCTTAAACATAATGGGAAGAGCTGAGAAACTTTCAACCTTCGATCATATGCTCCTTGATCGGGAATGAAAGCAGTAGAGTTCTACCTGCCACCAACCCTTAACTGTTGCCTCCCTCCTCAACACCCTGTTTTAACACAATTCGGTGCAATGATTAGAGTTTTGGGTCTGTTTTTGTTCTCTAAAATAACTTTTTTACCTTCACTTTACAAGTAATACATTTTAATTCAGTACATTTAATTCAGTACATTTGAAAATAGAGGCAAAAAGAAAAATACCTATAAAGCCACCTCAGAAATAATCACTGTCAACATTAGATATAGATCTTCCATATAAATAATATATGAATTTAAATACCTACTTATAATTTTAAAAACTAAAATAGAATTAAAGTTGTTTGTTACCTACTTTTTTTTTACTTCAAAAGTCAATTTCCTATTCAGGTGTTCTGTTTAACATTTTAACATGAAAACTCAGATGAGATCTGCAGACCACATATTCAGTCCCCCAGACAGACATCCTTAATTTTTAATCTTTATTTCCTTTCACAGATTTATTGGTTTAAAGATGGAAAGCAGATCTCCTCAAAGAATGATCATTACACCATCCAGAGAGATCTCGACGGGACCTGCTCTCTCCATACCATGGCCTCCACCCTAGATGATGATGGGAATTACACAATTATGGCTGCAAACCCTCAGGTAAAGAACGGTATGGTCTTGCTTCATTTCTGTGTACGGTTGACCCTTGAACAGCATGGGTCCACTTATAAATGGGTTTTTTTTCAATAAATATTGTAAATATATTTTTTCTTCCTTATGATTTTCTTAACATTTTCTTTTCTCTAGCTTGCTTTATTGTAAGAATAGACTATATAACACACATAACATACAAAATGTGTTAATCAACTGTGTATGTTATCCATAAGGCTTCTGGTCAACATAAGCTACTATTAGTAGTTTTGGGGGTGTGAAAAGTTATATGCAGATTTTCAGATGCATGGGAAGGACTCAGCATCCCTGACCCCTACGCTGCTCAAGGGTCAACTGTATAGTTCTTACAGGCATTTATGTGGACAGAGGAACTGTTTACTTAAAAGGTGGAATCATATCTCTTTGATTTGAAACTATTTCCTCAATTTCTACATCCATCTCGGTTTTGGAGGATAGAAAAATTCTTCGTTTCATGAGTATTTATTTATTTATTCCATCAGATGTTTTTCTAGATTAATAATTCTGGTGCACATGTGCATTCTTTCCAAAAATATTGAGGGCTTAATATATGTACACCTGTTACGTTAGGTGATGGGGTTGCAGTGGTGGAGAGGACCAAGTTCTGAGACAAAATAAGCCAGTAAACAAATTAAAAGTAGCATTTCAGATAGGGGTAAGTCTAGAAAGAAAAAAAGGAGAAAGTGTGCATATGCTGTATTAGAAAAACAAAAAAGTAAAATATTTAAAAGAAATACACTCATACTTAATTCAATGGAATTTAAGTGTAAATGTAGAAAAATTATAATTTTGATAGCGTCCGTTTATAGAAGTCCCCTCTTATCTGTAGTTTTGCTTTACATGGTTTTAGTTACCTGTGGTCATCTGTGGTCCAGAAATAAGCAATTCATAAATTTTAAATTGTTTTAAATTGCATGCCACTCTAAGTAGCATGATGAAATCTTGCACTGTCCTGCCTGGGATGTGACTCATCCCTTTGTCCAGCATATGTAAGCTATACGTACAGCACAGTAAGATACTTAGAGGCCACATTCACATAACTTTTATTACAGTATAGTTATACTTGTTCTATTTTATTATTAGTATTGTTGTGAATCTCTTATTCTGCCTGATTTATAAAGTAAACTTTATCATAGGTATGCATGTATAGGAACAAAACATAGTATATGTAATGTTTGGTATTATCTGCGGTTTCAGGCATCCACTGGGGGTCTTGGAATATGTCCCCTGAAGATAAGGTAGAGGGGGACTACTGTATAGCATTCAGGATTTTTTGTTTCCATCCAAATCAGCTGACTACTTGGAATTTAATAGGCGGCTACCTGGGTATCATGTTCCTATTTCAAGACTGCAAATTAGTGTCTTGTATCTTTTAGGTACTATGCTGGTTATGGGGAACACAAAAATGAAAAGTGATTTTGTACATTAAGAACTCAATGTGTGACAGGAGATTTTACGAAGTCTGCAGAAGTTGTGTGAATAATATTTTTTTAAAGAAGCTAAAATTAACAATTTTATTATAATACTAATGAAGATTGTCCTGAAGTCATCTTTTTAAAATCTCTGATCTATTTATATCATTCCTTATTTCATTATTTATTTTGGAGGAAATAATTAGTGTTAGAAAATTATACAAATAATTTTAGCAAAGCTTACAAACTTCTAAAAGTTTGTATGATGTTCATCCTATCCTAATATTACATTATATAAAGATCTATTTATGCAAGGATATTAAGATTAGGATGAAACTCAACTTATCCACCAGTCAGGCTGTGATAGAGCACAGCAAACCGTCACTGTCAGCGAAGACTTTACATGTTAATGCACCTTTGCGAGGGCCTCATTTTTCACTCAATGAATACATGACCGTCACCTTGACAAATAGTCAAAATCACAACCATTACTAAACAGTTACATTTTAATGCTTATTTGTGTTCATGTTTGGTGTTTTTGAGGGAACCAAAGTGGAACTTTTTTTTTCCTTACCGTATCTTCAGTACGTTTCCTTGACTACTAGTAACAAATTTCAATTTTCAGGTTTCTGCCTATTAAGAAACCTAGTGGAGAAGTCAACAAAATCCACAGTTTTCCTTCATATTGGGTTCTTTATTCCTCTTTCCCCTGTGTATGCTGGGATGTATTATGGAAACAGAATTAACTGTGTTCTGTAAACACTTGCCTGTACCGGGGTCCTGCTGTGGGTTGTGGGGCATTTTCCCCTGGCAAATGTTTTCAGCTGTTACTGAACTAAGTCATTTTATAGAACAAAGGAAGAAAAATGTACAAGTGTGATTATGCCTTTGCATGTAGTCTTCTTCAGTGTACACTAATGTACGTTTGCGTGTGGGAAACCCTCAGTGCTCATGGCCAGGGGCGCCATGTGCAGGGCTGAAGACAGCAGGCCGGCCTCAGGGCTAGTGGTCGCTGAGCATGTAACTGCTAACAAACCAGGAAGAAGTCACTAGATAAAGGAGGGCTGCTGTAGATCCCTCTTGTAGACATAGAAAAGGAGGAAGGGACAGAAATCAAAAGAAAGAAATTGCACAACAAAGACATACCAGAATTGTAGAGCGGTGTTGACACTGAAAAGTCTAGAAGGTGTAGTTCAGTGGTTAGAAGCATGGCCACTGGCTTCGGGCAGATCTGAGTTGGAATTCTAGCTCTGCCACCCCAAACCTGTGTGGCCTTCAGCCAGTCACTTATCCTCTCTGCCTGTTTCCTCTTTTATGCACCGAGAATAATGCGGATTTAAATAACACATGTAAAGCACTCAGTTTACCTGGGACATAATATGCTTTCAATAAATGCTACGTATCATTATTTTAATTCAAAGACACTAACAAGCCTGTCTTAGAGAAGCAGCCCAATGAGCTGGCGGAAGCCGGGGGGGATCAGGATGTGAAGGATCCGTTCCGTTTCTAGGTATCCCGCTCCCACAGTACTGTTAGAAAGTAAGCAAGTCGATCAGGAATGGGATTTCTACCCAACATGTTGCTGGTGTGTGGTCTTGCGACCTCCTGGCTTTTCCTTTTGACCACCCTCATGGGAAAGGAGTTAGGCAGCAGATGTGGTTGTGCCACGACTGCCACAGCTGCAGGCTTGGGAACTAGAGGCCTGGCCACTCCCACAGCACAGCTGACAGCAGCCACACATGAAGCTGGGAAGCTGCTCTGGGCTCCAGCACACTCAGGGCCAAGGGAAGGCCCAAATGAGAGCAGTCCCTAGCCTCATCCCAGGGCCCAGTGAATTCTGCCGCTTTACCAAATCTCAGGATAAGCCCCATGGCTAAGCCTGCCTGGCTCTTAGCCTCTGCCCTTTGAAGAGGAGGCAAATAAATGAGAATGGGCCAGTTTACATCAGGTAGCCAGAGCCCAATGCTGCTAAGAGAATATCCCTCCTGTGATGAAGCAAACAGTAATAGCAGGCCTCCAGGGAGCAAAAGATTCAAAGAACCCCAGAGGTCACAGTAACCAGAACAGTTCCTGATATCTGGAATCCCAACTGTCTCTCAAGGTTAGTTGATCCACCCAGTATTCTAAAGTCTCCCTTTCTACCTAAATGACCAAAGGCATGCATAGGAAGGAAAACTCAGGAAAAGAATCAGGAAATCCTAAGAGCAGGCATTTAGGCCTCCAATTGAAATTGTTATGAGAGAATGTCTATATTTATGGTACTTGGTACTAGTTGCTATTCCAAGTTTCTGAGCATGTTGCCGGGTTGATTTTAACTTCTAGAGTAAAAGTTCTTTTCTATCTTGGGGTCTTCAGTAAGTAGTAGGTATGTACAAGTATGCCAGATGTGGGCTTTGTGAGTTTTCACCTAGAAATGGGATTGAACTTCACTACCCATTAGAAAAACAAAGTGGTAATTTAAACCAAGACAAGGGGCAGACCATTTTTCTACCTAACCTTTGGCATAAGTTATCATTTGTTGCCATGGGAATACTGTAATTGAAACATTGAACAGTGTCATAAACTCAGCTTTATAACATCTGTTATTGTACACTAAAGTATTTTACCATTCTTGTAATTTCTGAATTAAAACATAATTTAAAAGAAGCATGACATAAGTTCAGCACTGAAAAAAAATTTCCAAAGTAAAAGCTAAATTCCTCAAGATGTATTAATCCCAAAAGCATAACACACAGTCGACAGAAAGCTGACTCCCTACTTGCCTTAGTGCCCTTTGGCTACCTTAACATTTTTTCACATTTTCAAAGTATTTGGTTTCGAAAGGGAGACGACTACACCCATTTTTTTCCCTGGTACACTGTAGCCTACACGATGTGAAATAACCAAGGGAAAGAGGAAAACGTTGGGAGTGGAGACATTGGTTCAGTAATGAAACAAAGACAGCAGCAGAGCTTTCCTGAGCAGTGGAAAATCGTCACAGAAAGCAGCCAAGGGAAAGGGTGAGAACCAAAGAAAGAGGAAAATACTACAGTTCAGCAGAATAGTTTATAGAATATTTTTCCACCTGGGTTAACCTTTGGGGAATAAGAAACACGCTAGTTATTGTTGACTGCATCCAAATTCTGCTTGGGATAGAACACACAGCTCTTAAGCGTATGCTAGGCTGTGCCTCGTGCTCACCGCGTGCTGCTCAGGCAATTCATAAGAGACCAAAGTGAGCGCATAGTTTAGTGAAATAATGAGTGATTGTGTAGCACTACACCAAACATGATGCCAAAATGAGGATCACAAATACAATTTATTTTACACTGTAATCCTGTCTTTAAGATATGACTGAATCTAAACACGAATGTTTTCCTTTGTTTTGGTGTGTTGCTAAGTGACTCTGTATTGCACTTGGATTTTGGAATGGCTGTTTTGCAGTTTGATGTTTCCTCACGTTGCATTATGTATACAAGTGGCAAGCTTTTATAAAGATCTGTGTGCCACAAGTTAAATTTCATAAACTAGGAAATATAAATGTTATTTCCATAGTGTATAAATAATTGGCCTTGCATGAGGCATCAAATAATCTTTACAAGCTGGATGTTGAATACAGAATCACGTTGAGAATTCAAACTTATTACTTGTACTATAGCTTTAAACTGTGGATGTGTTTGGAAGAGAAAAGTTACACACAGCTGAGTTAAATTTAAAAAGTTAGTTTGTTGATTGTTTTGCCTTAGCATTCATTGTAAGGTTGCCTGGCTCATTTCAAGCTTCACTTTAAACATTATTACTTCATGTGTTAATAATAAAGCAGAAAGAAATGAGCAAGTTAACAGCAAATGCAGTCGCGTTCATGTGCCCCAGAGCCGGCTAATTATGATGATCACTAGGGATAATTATTAGCACATTAGGGTGATTAAAATTAATTTTAATTTTGTCTGATCTTCCTTACAAGTAAGACTTTCAGACTTAAAAATGTGAACTTTCAATTGCGCACATTTGAGGCATCTTTCCAAAAATGCTTAACTGAATTCTGGATTTTTTTTTTCAAATGAAAATGTTAAAATTATACAACTTGTTAGTTTGGATGCTTTATAAAAGCTCCTGGACATTTACTGATTAGTAATGTAAATGTATAGTGTTAGCCAGTAACACTATATTATCAAACTAATCATCCCGCCTCTCTAAGACCATGCCTTCCCCCTTTATGTTCAGAAGTAAAGGATGATGTAGGAGGAGAAAGCTGACGATGGCAACATATTCCTTTTTCTTAAACTGGCAAGTTTAGGAAATATCTGTGGCAATATCTGTGTATATGGTGCTAAGCAGAAATGAAAATCTTGAAAACACTGTAGAAATATGTAATCTTTGCAGAGCATTATGTCAACCTGTTAACCCTGTTTTTTTTTTTTTTTGAGAGACAAGAGGAGGCAGGGCTGATACTAAGCGTAGTGAAATGGTTACAGCTGAGTAGGGTCTCCTCCATCTGATACCTCAGATAAGCCATCACACAAACACCTTGAATATACCTGGTGCCCCTCACCTTCCCAGCACTAGCGTAAGTTAAAAAGGTTGTTCTCTCCACATATTCTGCCTTCTTTGCTAAGAGTATTTTGTCTTCCTTTGGAGTAAGTTACATCCTAGTACAAAAAAAAAGGGGGGGTTGGGGGAGGAAAGAAACAAACTCCATTACATGCGGGGGTAAAAACTGTTCGATGAAACACTTCTAAGGGGTGCGTCATATCCATCTAGTTGTTATTATAACTCTATCCATACTAAGTGCTATAGTAATTTAATATTTTGAGCATTTACTATGTACAAAAAACACAATACCAAATATTTTACACCTATTAAGTCCTTTAATCTTCATACGCACCCATACGGGATTAACTATATGGTTGCATTTTACAGATAAGGAAACTTACTTAGGCAGTTAAGTTGCCTGCCTGAAGTCACTCACCTATAAAGGACAGAAGTGGTTTACAAACCCAGACTGACTCCAGAGCTAGGGAGTGTCATACGAAGGTGTCTGGGGTTCACCCCAGCATTGAGAGCACTGAGGGGTAGGGGCGGCATTGGTTAAAAGAGGTATTTGAAAGCATCAAAAAAAGAAGGTAAGAGCATCCCTCAAGCAAAATATATCCACTTGGAAAATTTTATTGGCATCAGCCAAGCTGCTGGGGTCCCTAAAAACCACCTCGATGCATGTCCATACATCCATAATGCCTCAGACCCATAGTAACACAATACCAGCAGTGGTGAATTTTACAATCTGTGACATCAAGTACAGCAGCCCCCCTTATCTACAGTTCTCCTTTCTGCAATTTTAGTTACCTGCAGTCAACTGTGGTCCAAAAATATTAAATAGAAAATTCTAGAGGTAAGCACTCTGAGTAGAAGGATGAAACCTCATGCTGTCCCACTCCGTCCCTCCTGAGACATGAATCACCCCTTTGTCTCGCGTTTTCACACAGGACAGTAAGGTATTTTGGGAGACCACATTCATATAACCAATCACAGTATATTGTTATAGTTGTTTTATTTTTGTTATTAGTTATTGTTCATCTCTTTATCATAGGTATGTATGTTTGGTACTATCCAAGGCTTCAGGCATACACTGGGGGTCTTGGAACATGTCCACCGCAGATAAGGGGGACTACTGTATAATTTGATATTTGTATAATTTTATATTTGTAAGATCATCTTAGGTTTTATCATTTAATCTTTACAAGCTTCTCATGAGACATAGCACCCCAGTTTTTACAGAAGAAAACAAAGGCTTGAACAAATTCAGTGATTTGCCCAGTTTCAGGAAAAGTCAAAACTCCAATCCAGGTTAGAGGAATTTGGGGCTTTTTAAGCAACTAGTATGTTTCCTCAAATTGAAGTTTAAAGATGTAATTTAACTTATATCTTTTCTAACCACGTAAGTGATTAGTTAACATTAATTTCCCTTGTGGATCCTCTGGGTTTTATACCACAAGGAAAAATCTATCCAAACTAAAATGATTAGTGGAAGCAGCAAACAGTAAGAAAGCCATATCTCATATATCACTAAACAGTTGAAGGTATTTGTGTAAAGCAAAACATACACTGTCTTGTCCTCAAGCTAAAAAAGAGTCATGAGTCTTAGATGTTCATTTGTTCAACTATCTACTAGGCCGCATCTGTTGGGTAATTTATAATGGCGTCTTCTAAGAAAGTCACATCTAGATTGTTTTATAGCAGGTATAGATTTGGAAGGGTTAGATGACATTAATTTTCAGGGTTCAAGTTAGCTTAAGGGAATCACAAGTGTTTGCCAAGAGTTCAACATAACAGCATTTATATCATGGGGACTTAGCTTCAGATTCCATTCATCTAAGTCAGAAATAATTCCCCTTCATGTCATGCTTCGTGTCTCCTTGGAAATTTTCAGGAAGGGCAGTATTTTAACTGTGACCTCAATAGCAAATATTGTGAATGCTAGGGGAATTTACATGTCTAATGGTACAGGACTACTTGTGGGTGTTTCTTTACGACGACCTCTATTTGGTAATTCCTGATTCTTCCATCTACATTACATCCTCATGTGTCTCTGTCTTTTGGGTGGTTCTGGCCTTCAGGAAGTCCCAGCTTTGAGAGGATTTAAGAGCCCCCCTGACAGGATCCCAGCCTTTCACTGAATCCTGCTATGGGGTTTTCCCCTCTGTGTCCCCCCCGCAGTGTCCTCTTCCTCATCCCAGCCCACTCAGTTGGATCTCAGAAAGCAGGTCTTCAAAACGACACACCACCTCTTGCTTCTGTTACCTATCTGTATTGGCAACTTGGAATGAAAATGGGCATCAGTGGTCAATTTTATTTTGACTGTAAGTGCACGTGAGGGCCGCTTTTCAACCTTGAGCTAGAATTCCCTAAGTCTAATCAATAAATCTACTTTTCATTTTTCCTTTCTTGCTGTTCCCTTTTGGCCATTGTCAGGATTTATAAGTACATCTGCTCATTCTCCCGGGAGATGAGAGGAGAAAACCATCTATTTTGCTACTCTGCTTATAAGAGTGAGGGAGAAGATTAGGAGAAGGGGTAAAGCAAAAAGGAACAATAAGTGGTTTATTCATGTCATCTTGACCCTCTAAATATTACTTTCGTCTATCCATAGGACAGCATGTATCCAATTTTCAATTGGCAAATTTAAGAGAAAATACAGCTTTTCGTTAGATAGGCCCTTATGGTATGACTCACCCATTTTAGGTATTTAACTGCTTCTGGTTTTTAAATCTCAAATACGTTCATGTCATGCGAACATGGGCCCTGTACTAGCTACGCTCTCCCTGTCACCCCTGTGCAGACTTCCATGATGCTCATTTTACCTGCTGCGTCTCTTCTCACATGGGGGTTTTAGAAGGGACACCATTAACATTTAATGAATATGTTTACTGAAAAGATCTGACAGAAACCTAAAGGTATCTAGTTTGATTTCAGAATTAGCTATAAGCAGTAGCTATGTGACCATGAAAATGGAATCCTAAGACGGCCACATCCTGATGCTGTATTTTACAACTCAACGTCCCATGCCTGGGAGTCCTTAGCAGATTACAGTTAATTCCATGAGGAATGTCATTTTAAACACCATCATAGATAAAACAGTAAAGCTTATTTATTTAACTCAAAGTACATTTCTGTGAGGGGTTGGTGTCACTACTAACGTCGCACACTGATTTGTTAACGTCTTGTGGAGCGTAGGAGAATCAACAGTGCTTAACAGTTACTGCTTTTGCACAGCAAATGATGTCTTTTCCTGTTGCCTCTGACAGGGCCGCGTCAGTTGCACTGGACGGCTAATGGTACAGGCTGTCAATCAAAGAGGTCGCAGTCCCCGCTCGCCCTCAGGCCATCCTCATGGCAGAAGGTATTTCAGACGTTCCTTCCCACAGGTGCTATCTCTGAGTTTATTTATTACTGTACATTCAACACTATTCGAATCACAGGATGACCATAAAAGTGAACATACAAGTGTGAAGACAGAATGTGAGTTCAATCTTAAAGGGTATACCATGTATGGCTCCTTGATTACTGTGCTCCTTTGCAATTGAGAAAGAGGAAGGGAGTAAACAACGTGTGCTAAGCCAGCTCAGATATTATGAAGACATTGACGCAGCAACTTTAAATGGCAGGTATCTTAATGAAAATACTAGCCAGTGGTCCATAAATGTTCAATACCAAACTCTTCTAACCAAGAGCTGTATTGTAAACTATTGCCACTGGATTTCTTAAAATCAGTTCGTCTGCTAATGTTCATTTTCAGTTACTTACTTCACAAGTTTATTTTAGACCCTAATCTTGTAGGTAAGATTTGCCATATTTTATATGCTCAGCAAATATCTGCTAACAATAGAGTCTGCTTTGCATCCCGAGGAGCCCTGAGCTTATTACATGAGCAGGATGCTGGGGCTGTGGCTGCAAACATCACATTTAGTAGCATATCCATTGCCTTATATTATTTTCCTTTGCTTTTCTTGTGGTCTTCAATATAGTTATGCTTTTCCAAGTGAAAAGCAATCTGTTCAAAAATTGTATCTGTACTTGGAGAAGTAAGCTCTCTAAAAACTGATAATTATTAGGCTATTATACTAATGTTTCATTTTTTTTTGTTCCATCTTATTTTTTCTAGTTAAGTGTTTTAAAACTTACCTTCTGATTACTGACAATATGTATTCAACATCTTGCTCTTTTCTTAAGTTTTCCCTGCAATTACTTTTAAGTTGTATTGCTCTCAGAGGTGCCGTTGGCAACATACATGGATAACTGATGAAAAAGAAAACCTGCCTGAAAATGTAATTTGCTTTCCTGGTTAATATAAAAAGGAATTTTGATTAGAAAGAAAATTTTTATAAAGTGCTAAGAACTTTTGATTTCTTATAAATTTAAAATCACAGTAGAAACTTATCATTTCTGTTGAAAAAGATTTGGTAATAAATAAATGACCAACAGCTGCTGCTATTTCTCATACAGTTTTAAAAATATTTAGGAAAAAAATAGGTTAATATAGAGTACCCCATCTTTTCCTATTTCCCCTTTTATGAGTTATACTGGCTTTAAGGATTAGGAGAGCAGAGCTGTTTAAGATCTGCAGTAAGCAGATCATTTATCATGAACTTCCAAATGAAACAAGATTTTGCTTTGCTGACTTTTTAAAGTATAAATCTTGGGGGTAGAAATCAGGGAAGGCTATTATATTGTTACCCCATATAATACAAAAAAAACATGACTAAGGGCCTGGAAATAACTATATCTATGTATGTATCCATCCATTATCTTGTTCTAAGGCCTCGCTCTAGATCAAGGGACAGCGGCGATGAAAACGAGCCCATCCAGGAGCGGTTCTTCAGGCCTCACTTCTTGCAGGCTCCCGGGGATCTGACCGTCCAAGAAGGAAAACTCTGCAGAATGGACTGCAAAGTAAGAGCTCATTATTGCCTATAAATCCCTCTTCTCCCTTTGCCATTTCTCTTGAGTTCCTTTTGGAAATTACGTAAAGTATACACTTTTAAAATTTTCTCCAGCTTGAGAGAAAAAAAATGTGAAATACACGGAATGGTTTATACACTGCTTTAAATCATCCTTTTCCTTTTAAATGTTTATTAAATACGTATGTTTGTTACTTAGAACCCTATACCATAGTCCAGAAAGTCACCGGGAGGTTTCATCCCTGAAAGGTTCCCATTTTGTTAAAGTAATACATGTATTGAATCTGTGATATGTCCTAATTATTAATTAGTTGATCTTCACTTTTTATTCATACAAATTTTGTATCCATATGTCTGCTCTGACTTTTACTCCTCCCATTTTCTATTTCTAATTTCTGAGCGATATTAGAGTGACATCTTTCTTTCACTCATTTTACAGCAGGGCTTCCTCACCCAGGGTAGGCACATTTCATTGCATGTATGAACTCTGAAATTGCATACAAAACTGTGTGTGATACTGCTTTCATCAGCTTCTCAAAAGCTTGAGGCTAAATATGTTGAAGAACTACTGCTCTGACATTTTTCATTTGTTTTTTTCTCCCATTATTTACTGAACTTAAATTCAAAATTTAGCTCTGAGACAGGTCAAGTTTTAAAAAATTATTTGGGCTCCCTCTGCTGGTTCTCTTTGGGATTGCAGAACACAATATAGGTGTTGAAAGGATTTGGGCATTATTTTTTTTCTAAAGTAAATCTGGGCTTGTATAGAAAAAGAATAAAAGGATCTGTTAAAATCATGACCTGGCTATAAGGACCTTAAATTCTTGAGATAAACTTTCTTTACTTACACAACTAAGAAGGCTGGGGTTAGACAAAGGGCAGGAGTTTCAGGCATTTTCCCTTCGCCTTAACGTAAATAACTGTCCACTGGCCCAGGTGCACTGGGAACTGGGTGGGCTGAGCCTGCACGGTGCTTTACGCATCTCTCCTCCTAACACACAGTGGCTTCAGTCAGTCCACAGCCCTGTTTTCCTAGGTTCTCACCTAGTGAAGCGGGAACTAGTAGTGCTGCTTTATTTCTAAACTTGGGAAAGGCCTGGCATCTGACCACCAGTGTCTACTGCCAAGTCTTCCTAGACAGGTAAATGAGTGTATGTGGAGAGCTAGCAGGTGGACAGATGGGACAACATACGAGCCTGGGCCTCTCAGCAGACAAGCTGCTTAACTATTGCTTCCAAAATCTCTTGGTCACCTTTTGACCAATAATTTAATTTGTTTCCTTTAAATTCTCTAGACCTTTGTGAAGTGTGTGGGCAGGCATCATTTAAGTAGTATAAATGAATTACCATTTACTGCAGGACTGGAATTGATGAGTTGCTGGCTGATTTTGGCAGAGCTGGGTCATCAAAAGAATTGTTTTACAGCGCAACAGACATTTTTTTGTATGTAACTTTCCCAGTAGTAAATGTGTGATGGGGTAAAAAGGCCTTCCTTAATGGTGCTTCTCTTCATTCAAAATCAAGGGCAAAGCCATAAAGAGTTGACAGATGGCAACCATCCCTCCCCCTCACAGCATAAACTTATTTATTAGCAATTAAATGCACTTTTGTCTGATGTCTGGTCCCCACAACTGTCACGGTCTCAAGATTTTATGATGTTTCCATTGTGATGCTAATTTGTTGATATGGCTTTCTGGGTAATTTTGTATTGTTCTTGTTACTTAGTTTCAAGGATTATAAAGTAATAGCCCGGCTGCTGATGGATGCATTAACTAATGTCTCCACAGCTGTGGCAACTCTATGATGAGAAGCCTTACTGTGTATAAATGCCAACTGAGTATGTTATTATGATTGGACTTTTTTCCAAAGAGCTCAGGGCCCTGTGCTGACATCATCCCAGTAATCTTTATAACCCTTGGTGAGGTACAATGATGACAGAAATTGTTTTAATCCCCATTTCACTTTTCTCTAGCTTGCTCTATAAGAAATGTTTAGAAGTGAGCCCGTAAGTGCTTAGGAAGCCATTGAAAGGTTTTAATCAAAACAGTAACGTGAGCAGAGACCAAAAGCCATCTCTTTTACCACCAAAGGAGGGATTTATGCTGGTTTCTCAGCTATTGATTTCATTGTTTTAATATTTAGAGAAATTACTGCATTTTCTTTCTGGTGTAGGTCAGTGGGTTGCCAACCCCAGACCTAAGCTGGCAACTAGATGGAAAGCCCATCCGCCCTGACAGTGCCCACAAGATGCTCGTGCGTGAGAACGGGGTGCACTCTCTGATCATAGAGCCTGTCACGTCGCGGGACGCCGGCATCTACACGTGTACGGCCACTAACCGAGCGGGACAGAACTCCTTCAGCCTGGAGCTGGTGGTTGCAGGTGGGCTTGTCTGTGACTCCTCCCTTTCCCAGCATGAGATTTAGAAATGTAAGCTAATCCTGCAGTAGTAACCAATATGGAAAATAGACCTTTTCATCAAAGTAGCCAATGGGGACATGTTAAGGCTTAGAAAGTCAGACATTATTTTCCTTCATCGTAGCCTTTATTATCAGTCCTTCCTTTTCTCCCACTAGCCTGGCCAAGTGAAAAAAGGATTTGGGTTTCTCGGGGTCCATTCTACTTCTCGTGTGTGTGTGTGTCAGCCCTCAGTTACAAGGAACGCTCAACAGCAACACAGGCTCCAGGACACAAACTGGATCTATAAGAATTTATGCATAAAGTTCTACATATATGCCTAGCTTTTAAATCAATGTAATATGCACTGATTTCAAAAGTCAAAAATGTTTAACATTCCATTACCCCCACTGTCAGTCAAATTAAACACAGATTGACTTTTTGATTAACAAAGTTTATCTAACAGCATCAAGTATTGTCATGACGTCTTACCCTCAGATAAGGACAATATTTTTATGGAAAGGTTGATACCATCTTTAAGTGTTGAGCGTAAGATTCTGATATCTGTTCTCTTCTAAAAAAAGAAACAAACTATTTCTCACACCTGTTTGTAAAGTGCCTCATGTACATTATCTCAGTTGGTCTTCCCAACAGCCCTATAAGGTAATCAGCGAATTTTCTACCTCATTTCAAAGATGTGGAAATTAGATTTAAGGGAGTTGCCCATGGTCCCATCAGTCAGCTGAGGGAGAGACTGAATCTGTTGCCTCCTAGCACTCTTCCAAGCACTATGAGCCACTGGGATCTTTCAAGAAATAGAAAAATGGACTTATCAGGGGGGTCGCCACAGAGACTGTATAGATGCCTGACCACTGTGCTGTACACCTGAAGCTGAAATAGAATAATATCGAATGTCAACTAAGTTTTACACACACACGTGTACATATATGTATTTGTGTGTATATATACATATATACACACACACATACATACACCTGGGGTGCCAGAAAAATGTATACAAGTGGACACTTCGGTCAACGTTGCTCAAGCGTCGTCGTCATCAGAAATGTCTAGACACTGATGGTAACCACTTTGAGCACCTCTTGTAATTACAGAAGTCAAACGTGACTTGTATTCATCTTTTGTTATTACAATTTTAATAATTTTTTCCTTTCATAAAATGTGTATCCTTTTTTGGCACCCTCTGTATTATATAGTCACAGGATGTAAAGTACAGCATAGGGAATAGAGTCAAAGGTATTGTAACAGCTCTATACAAAGTCAAAGAAGTAAGTAGTTTGGGGGGCTTTTCACTTCGTAAGGGGTGTAACTATTACGTTGCTTTGTACCCCGGAAACTAATAAAAACAGAGTAGCAATGAGAATAAAGCCCAGGAGGTCCAGGCTAAAATGATTCTGGTAATAGCACAACGGTTTTCACACCAAAAACATGATAAATGTGTGGACTGTGGTGCTGTTAGCCATGCTTTTAAATTTGGTGTAGTCAGTATTACCACACACTAGGATTGATCTCTGTCAGCCCTCTAACTGTCCCTCATCAGACTAAAACCAATTGTTTTTCTCCTGTTAAATGTGTTGTCTGTCCTTCAGGCCTGACATCTCCACAGGCCTCAGGTAGGTAGCACTTCCGTGAGAAGACGGCAGTGCACAGTAACTGAAAGCAAAGCCTCTGTCAAAGGACACAGCTCGTAAGCGAGAGCTGGGCCTGAGATTTGATGTCAAACACATACCACCTCTGATCTGACATACAGGAAATGGAGTTAGAGTTAAGAATTAAGTGTAGGAAGCTCTGCAGCCCCAGTACCCTGCACAGCCATGCTCCAAAAGAGCAAGGGTTATTCTTACTGGCGAGTTACTACGGCATTAAGACTCGTTTATATACATTTTGTTTCCCAAACTGGGACCCAGAAAGAGAACTGAGGTCTGTTCCCCTTCCCCCTGACTAGCCTAGGTCAGGTAACCATACGAAGTCCAATACAAATACAACCTCGACATAGTTCAAAGTCTTAGATAGTCTTAGGTATTTGAACTTTTCAGGTAGAATTGTATCCTCTTCACCTGCCACTCCCTGGCTGCTTTGAAATATTTGTCAGTCCGGAGGATGAGCAGTGGTGGAGAAAGACATGCATCCTTGAATTCACTGCTGGTAGCTCAGGAGAAAAGAACTAAACCTCATTCTTTCTCTGAAATTGTTTTCACTTCAGATCCAAGAAAATCATTTCCCATTAGAGGGTGATACCATATTTCCCCATGTATAAGACACACCTTAATTTGGGGGCCCAAAAATTTTAAAAAATGTACTAAAGTTATTGAACTCAAGTTTTATTCATCATAAAATTCATACAACTCCTCATCACTTGCGGGAAATGCAAGTAAAAAAATCTACAACCACTGTATAAGACACACCCAGTTTTTAGACCCCAAATTTTTCGAAAAAGGATGCGTCTTATACATGGGGAAATACAGTATTTAGAGTATTAACCAGTTCTGATTTTTTCAGACTAATGAAGTTATCCTTTTTTACGGCTTCCTTCTTTCAAGGTAATAATAAATAAAGCTGTCTTTTTTATATCCCGTCAAAGAATACAAATTGGAATCTGTAATATACAGGATGCACATTCCTGGTTTATAGGTCACTATTTAAACCTGCCACATTGAGATGAAGATATCTCCCCTGTATTTCCCCTGCTTTAAATCCTATGGTAAGTTTCACTTAAGCCAGGATTTACAAGTCTTCAGCATTTTCGTAGCACACATTTCAGACAGGAGGGAATCTAAGTAGAGCTGAGTCTTAAAAACACTTGCCCTCAGTGTCACTAGGGGGCAGTGGTTGGTCAAGGCTGTGCCTGCACCTTCAGTAGTGTGAAGCCGTTCTCTGACTCAGCCTGTCAGACAGGCCTTCTGTGGAGCAGATGGTCAGTGGACGGTGTGGTGCTGTCAGAACTGAATTCGTCAAGGAAATAAAGGAGTAGATGAAGCACAGGAACCATTCTTAAAAAAAAAAATAATAATTTGGAGAGAGGACCAGCATTGTACCACCTGAAGTGAAAAATGGTATAAAAGATCTATTTAATATTGCAAAAAGCTTTTGAGTTCTTTGTAATTGCCCCTTTTGTGTATCACTGATCGATCCTTCATCTCCTGTTTTCTTAGCCAAAGAAGCACACAAACCCCCCGTGTTTATCGAGAAGCTGCAAAACACAGGTGTTGCTGATGGGTACCCGGTGCGCCTGGAATGCCGTGTTTCCGGAGTGCCACCGCCTCAGATATTTTGGAAGAAAGAAAATGAATCTCTCACCCACAGTACTGACCGAGTGAGGTAAGAATACACAGTGACTTAATTCCTAACTTCTTGGTCCTAACGATTTATAAAAAGACACTTTATATAGCCTGTAAATCTGTGTAAGTCACACCATTGATGATTATCAAAGACAAAAACCACTCTTTACCCTAATGAATGATTAAGCTTTTAGAAGGACGCTAATAATGGCATACGATGAAGCACATTCTAACTTAAACACACCAAAAAAACACCATTAGGTTATCTTTATATCTAAGAGAACAGATGCATCCGTTTGCTTCAGTGGTGACAGAGGAACTATTCAGTGGTTTTGTAAAGACAGATCCTTAAATAGAAATTAAGTGCAGAGATTTATTCAACCTCTTGACGTCGTCTCTCCCATTACCTTTTAATAGGGCCAGCAGCCTCTCCAGAATAAGCATGACCCTATTAGCCTCTCCTTGCACAATTGTTTCTAATGAGCTAATTACAAATGATGCTTCGTGTGCATCACCGCTTCTTAGGCATTTAAAGCCCTGATGACTGTGTCCTTTTCCCAGCATGCACCAGGACACCCATGGCTACATCTGCCTGCTCATTCAGGGAGCCACGAAAGAAGATGCTGGGTGGTACACGGTGTCAGCCAAGAATGACGCTGGGATTGTGTCCTGTACTGCCAGGCTGGACGTTTACAGTGAGTGACACTTCACCCCATCCCGTTGCATTTAGTCATTTGGACATCTGAACAGCAAATCACATTACTTTTCTGTCATCTTACAACTAAAGTGGGGTGTTTTTGGCTAAAAATTTCATATTGCTCTTTCTCTTTCTATTTATAGTTTCTCAACATTAATAGTGAACTACACCAGGAGAACAGATACCCAAGTATCTTTTAGGAACTTCGTATTAGCAAAATATGCATGTTGATTTCTCTTACATGGGCTAGTCAGTTGTGGCTTCCTTACTCAAGCATCCGTAGGCATTAACAGTAGCCAAGGCATAACCACGTTTTTCACATTATTCTGTTACGGTGTTCTGCAAATAACTGCCTTTTTAACATTTTTTCCTATACCATAGTCCTATCACAGCATCTTAATGCACTCTAAGTGTGGGTACCATTGATCCTGGAATGCATACTTTTGTGGCTTGGTGCTTTTCTCATTAATTTATCTTAAGCAGCTGAGCAATAATAGATGTGTGTCTGTATATGTATCTTTGTCCACATGCATCCTAAATTTAATGAAAATCATTCCTATTGAATTTATGAACTACTACAATAACATTGTGATTTACATAAAACCACTAGAAAAAATTAAGAACTTCCCTCCTTGTAAATAAGGAATAATTTTGTGAGATTCCTCAGGAAATGAGTGACCTCAGCCTTCCCTACTGCCCAATTCCTTTCAATTGATTAAACATCCATCCAGAATATCAAACTACTCTAACTAATGTGGCATTCATTCATTTTGATCTCCGGAGATACTTTTTTTAAGAGGGAGAGGTGAATTAGGAAACTTAGATACTATCTCAAAAGACTCCCTGTGCTGCGGCAAGTATTTACCTTAAACTATACTTTTTATTCATCTGTTATAGCCCCACTACCCTGTACAAACAGTAAATGTGCAACATGAGTAAAATGCAAAACTATCCTTAAACTTTAGGATTTCTACCATGGATGCATTCAGTTTTTTTATAAAGAACATGTGCCTGGTGTATATCAAAAGACGCATTCTGTATTTACTTGAAACATCTAAGGGCTTTCCAATTATATCTCGGTTAAAAGATCCTAATTTTTTCTTTCTTTTTTTGTAGCCCAGTGGCATCAGCAGCCACAGAGCACCAAGCCAAAAAAAGTCCGCCCCTCAGCCAGTCGCTATGCAGCACTTTCGGACCAGGGACTAGACATCAAAGCAGCGTTCCAACCTGAAGCCAGTCCATCTCACCTCACACTGAACACTGGCTTGGTAGAAAGTGAGGACCTGTAATCCAACATTCTTGTTAAAACTGAAACACTGAAATGGCCTTGCCTTGACCAATGTATTCCTTTGTCACATTATGAAAAAGGCAAAAACATACCTTTGACTATAAGAAATAAAAAAATGTTTTCCTTAATATACCAAACTTAGAGTTTAAGTAAGTGATGCTAATAGAAATGTACACGTTGCACAGAAAATTCACATTCATCATCCAATTTAAAACTTTTGAATTGCTGTGAGTAAAGTGGTCTGCAGTGCTGAAGGAAACCAATTGTTCAAAGGTAACCACAACTTGTATTATCAGAAGTGCCTTAGAACACTAGCTTTAGGTGCTGCATAGCATGATAGTGTGGAATGCTTTTAACATAAGGCAATTGTACCACAAATACTACTAAAATGATTCTGAAATGGCAGTGTATTCAGACAGCTCCAGTGAACCAAGTGCAATATATGAGGATGAAAGAGGAAACGGCAAAGAAATCCAAGTAAATGCCTTGTCTTAGCAAACTGTTTTATATTAAATCATAAGGAAGGAATTACTTGCCTTAAATTTTAATAATATCAAGAGTTTTCTAACAAGGTTAATGCCTTAGTTCATAAACTTTATTTCTTTGTATTGTATTTTCTTTTCATGCTACCTTGGTAGAAAGCTTATTTACAAACGGTATTGAAAGGCTAATTTAAATATAAATAATATAAAGTTTTCTGAATAAAGCAGAAATATATGACAGTCCATTCCAGGAAAGGCATACAAACCACCCAAGTGACCAAGGCATATAGAATTTGGAGGGCACAGGGGTTTGGGAAGAGTAGGGAGAACAATGAAGGAAAATGCTACCCTCATACTTACTACATTGTATTCATTCAGAGATAAAAGTAGAAGGGGCAAGAAACATGTGAAAGGGCAGGCTTTTCTTTGGTTTTCTTGAAAATTAATCTAACACATAGGTGAAAAACACTGCCATTTACACGTCAGGGAACCCAGGGTCAGCTGAAAGTTTGGAGCACATGTGCTATGGGAATTTTAGCGTGTCTGAAGTTTGTGTAGTAGAGATTTTTAGATGTTTAGAGCAAGTTGAAAATGGGACTGAGACTGCAAGATTGGCATAAATGAGAAATTGCCTGTAGCATCTAGTCTACTTGAGGGAAATGGAGACTTAGAAGAGACAAAAACAAGTTTGTGCCATAATGTATTTTTTTTTCCAATGGCACCAAGATATGGTGAATGGAAAATATTAGTTCACTTCCCTGCTGTCCTGAAACCTTGCCTTAAGAAGGTGCTGGATTCTGAGTAGTTTATAAACGCATCTCAGCAAAGACTATTTTTTACCTGCATACAACTCTGCATCAACTAAACTGAGTTGATTCTGACCAGACTTGATGGTTTTTAAGTCGGAACCAATAAACTTTAAAAAGGAGAAAAAAAAAAACCCAATTTGGCCTAATAGTATAACATGAGGCTTTAATGGTACTTTGCTATGAAAAGAAAACACTGTATTCCTTATGCAAAACACATATCTGTCATTATTTATAATAAAAAATGTTGAACTCTCTTAGCTCAGTTACTCAATTCAATATGTAGTATTTTTAAAAATAATTTTATATTTGTGTACCACCCTATGTATTTCATATTACTGCTTCACATGTACAGCTTTCTACTTGTTTGTAAGAACACCAACCAAGTTTTAAATGATTAATAGGCTTGAGCACTGGGTAGCAGATGTTCTCTGCAGAGTGGTACAAGTTTCTTTGATCACACTTATATGCATTACTAATATGGAATTTAAGATACCATATAAAGTCCCTCATGGACTTTTCTATGTTGTAGTATTGACTTATGTCATATCTTACTTGCCAAATTTTTCTGAATGTGACTTTTTTGCTAATTTGCTGGGTTTGGGATTAAGTAGCATTCTTTTGCCACCTTTTATGTTGTATTTATAAAAAAAAATAGTACTATCATACTACTTCGGATTGTTGTGCTGGTGTAATGTGGACTTAACATCAATAAATATTTAACAAATAGTGGCAATTTTGTGAAGCTAAATATTCAGTTGTTTTCGTTTTCTATTGCTGCTATAATAAACTAGTACAAACGTAGAGGCATAAAACAGTACTAATTTCTTACCTCTGTAGGTCAGAAGTTCAGGCATGATATGGCTGGTTCTCTGCCCAGGGTCTTACAAGGCTAACATCAACGTGTCCACTGAACTGCATTCTCATTTAGAACTCAAGATCCTGTTCTAAGCTTAAGTACTTAAAAGAGAATTCAGTTCCTTACAGTTGTAGGACAGAAGCCTCAGTCTGTCAGCGAGGGGCCACTGAACTCCTACAAGCCACCCGCATTCCTTGCCATCTACAATACCAGCAATGAGACCCTCCCTGTGACAAATCCCTCTCACACTTTGGATCTCTTGTCAAGAGGGGCCCTTTTAAGGGATCACCTGATTAGATCAAGCCCACTCAGATCATCTCTCTTAAAATCACTGGATTTTGGGACCTAATTACATCTGTAAAATAGCTTCAAAGCAATTTGAGTTGGATTACATAACAGAGAAGGTGTGTGTACACTAGGACATGGGGATAATAGGAGCCGTCTTAGAATTCTACCTATGACCGCAGTTTATTGTATGTATGCATGCAAATAATACAGGTTTGTGTGCCCCAGGGAAAAGTCTTCTGTGACCATATACCATATCCCCTCTTTTAGAAATTAAATATAGAGCTCTGGTTCAAGATGGCAACACAGGAGGATCCTGAACACTCTTCCTCCCATGGGCACACCAAACCTACAACTACCTACAGAACAGTTTCTTCTGAAAGAAACCCAAAAACTAGCTGAGTGACTCATGTACATTGGACAAACAAGAAATAGGTAGTAGAGGCTGAGACAGTCTCACGAAAAACCCCATCCCCAGCAGAGCAAACCACAACTGGGAAAGAAGTCACAACCCTGAGCTTCTCCCAGAGGCGTGAAGGGGTTTGAACCCCAATGGGTCACCCCAACTTTTAAGACCTGTGAATGAAAGATGAGCCCCTAAAACATCGCACTTCAAAAGCCAATGGGGCTTGTATCCATGAGACCCACAAGGAAACAGCAATCTGAGAACAGGTCTTAAAGGGCTCGCAGGCACAGACTCACCTACCCAAGGGCCCAGCCCAGACACAGCTGACTAAAAGTGCCCAGTCTTTCTGTGAAAGAGGCCTACTTAACACACACACAGCCAGGGGCCTAGCTCTAGGTGCAGCCTAAGGGGCAGGCTTCTAATGAAACACATCTAAAAGCTGACGGTAATCCTCTCCAGAGACCTCAGAGGGCCAGTGCTACCTTCATACTCCCTCTGCCTCGCTCCAGGTTGCTGCTATCTCCCAAAAGAGCTTCTGACACATTTGCAGTTCCCATCCAGAAGAAAACCCTTGATCATCTGGCTCTGGTGGCCAGTGGGGCTTACATTTGCGGGTCTCACTGGACTGTAACAGAAAACCAGTTCTTAACCAACTAGCCACCACCACCACCACCACCACGGGAACAGCATACAGTCAGCAGACTGAAAAATACACGTGCCATCTTTCTCTGAAAGAGGATAATTAGTTTGTCTTTACAGCTGTGGCCAAGAGGTAGACTTCTAATTCAACACTCATCTAGCGGCTGACTACCATACTCTCCAGAGACAGGGGGACCAGCAGGCACCATCTTGGTGTTCTCCTGCCACCCAGCCCCAGGGTAGCAGTGTCTCCAAGAAAGGAGCTTATGCTCCTATCTGACAACCAGTTTTTGTGGCTGCTGCCCAGAGGATAAATCCCTTGGCAGACTGGCCTGGTGACCAGTGGGCTTGTGTTCACAGGTTCAACTATACGACAGCAAACAAAGAAACAGCTCTTGCCTGGGTATAAACTCAAGGCTCAGTCTGAAGGGAGGAGACAGAAAGGCCCTTCTCCCAGTATCTCCTCAAATCGGCATCTCCCCGTACTTTCAAAGCTGCTGCTTCAGAGTCTGGTTTCCACTTAGCCTGAATCTGGTGCTGACTGAGGTCCAATCTTTTGGAATACTGACAGGTCTTGAAACACTCTCAACTACCGGGAGCCACCAAGAATAAAGTAGGTACTTTGGACAACTGCAAAGGTTTGAGAGACAATCACCAGCTTGCACAGGATTGAACACTAAGGCTCATCTCCTACGCAAGGCCAATATTTCAAGACTGGGAGGTGATTATTTTACCTAATGCATAGAAACCAACACAGAGTGTCGAGGAAAACGAAGAAACAAAGGAATCAATTCCAAACGAAAGAATATAAAAGCTAAGAAAAAGGCCTTAATCAAATGGAGATAAATGATTTACCTGATCAAAGAGTTCAAAATAATGATCATAAAGATGCTTATGGAGCTCAGGGGAAAATGTATGAACAATGTGAGAATTCCAACAAAGAGACAGTACCAAATCGAAGTCACAAGAGCTGAAGAATACAGTAAGTGCACTGAAAATACAACAGAGGTTCAGTGGGCTGAGGAAGCAGAAGAAACAGCACACTCATAAGACAGAGGAACTCATCCAATCAGAAGAACAGAATGAAAAAATGAGGAAGAGTGAAGATAGCTTAAGGACTCATGGGACAACATGTACATTATACAGGTCCTAGAAGGAGAAGAGAAAGAAAAAGGGACAGAAAACTTATCTGAAGAAATAATGGCTGAAAATGTCCCTAACCTGAGGAAGGAAGCAGACATCCAGATCCAGGAGCCCATCGAGTTCCAATAAAGATGAACCCAGAGACCCACACCAAGACACATTAAAATGTCAAAAGTTAAAGACAAAGAGATCGTCACTTAAAAACTCTGCGTGAAGGGTAAAAGATAAAAGGAGTCAAAATACAATAGTTATTTAAGGGATAAACAAAACAAAAATCTGTAAATTATGACATCAAAAACAATGAGTGGAGGAGAGTAAAAATGTAGAGTGTTGGAATGCATTCAAACTTGTTATCAAGTTAAAATAGACTTGTAAACCTAAGTTGTTTTATGTAGCTTCATGGTAACCACAAAGTAAAAACCTATAGTAATTGAGAATCTATTTGAAGAAATAATGACTGAAAACTCCTACTCTGGTGACAGAAATAGACATAAAAAGGAAGGGGGCTGGCCGAGTGGCTCAGTTGGTTAAGAGCTCACTCAAGAGTTTGAGCTCAGCAACAGCGGTTCGAGTACAGCCCGAGCTGAGCAGCCGCTGAGCTGCCAACGGGTAGCAGGATGGCTCAGCTTAAAAAAAAAAAAAGTCCAGGAAGTGTGGTCCCAAACAAGATGACCCCCAAGAGGCCCACATGAAGACACATCATAATTAAAATGCTAAAGGTTAAAGACAGAGAATCCTAAAAGCAGCAAGAGAAAGGCAATTACTAACTTACAAGAGAGCTCCCATAAGACTGTCAGCTGATTCCTCAACAGAAACTTTGAAGGCGAGAAGGGATTAGCATGAAATATTCCGAGTGATGAAGAGAAAGGACCTACAACCAAAATTACTCTCTAGCCAGCAAGGCTATCATTTAAAATCAAAGGACAGATAAAGAGCTTCCCAGACAAGAAAAAGCTAAAGGAGTTCATCACTACCAAACCAGTATTACAGGAATGTTAGGGGGACTTCTTTAAGATGTGAAAAATAAAAAATATAAATAATAAAAAGTCAATAGTTACATATCTAGCAACAATTACTTACATGTAAATGGATTACATGCTCCATTCAAAAGATAGGGTGGGGCCAGCTGAGTGACACGTTGGTTAACAGCTGGCTTGGGATGCCAGCTCTGAGCAGCAGGACCCCGGTTCGGATCCCATATGAGGGCCAGTGACACTGCCCTCCGCAGCTAAGATGCTGAACAACAGCTCAACCTGGAGCTGGGCTGCCGTGAGTCCCTGGCAATGGCGTAGGCTGCAGCCCCTGTGGCAGTGGGTTGCCATGGGCTACCGTGTGTAGCCAGCAGCCAGCATGAGCAGCCAGCAGCCACAGTGAGCGGCCGTCCAGAAGCCAACAATTAATCTGCCTCACCCGGGAAGAGCGCAATGATGGTGCCAACATGGGCCAGTGAAGCGACGTCCTCCACAACTAGACTGAAGAACAAAATGACAGCAACTTGTCTGTTCCCCTTCCCCGATTCACCAACGCTGTTCTACTCCCCCAATTCCCCAATAAAATCTTTAAAAAAAAAAAAAAGATAGAGTGGCTGAATGGATAAGAAAACAAAACCTTTACATATGCTACCTGTAAAAGACCCACTTTATATTGAAAGACACACACAGGCTGCAAGTAAAGAGATGAAAAAAAAATATTTCATGTGCATGAAAACTAAAAAAAAAAAAAAAAGCTGGGGTACTTAGACAAAATAGACTTTAACCCTCCATCAGGTACAACTGATCTCAGATTCATTGCACACAAATTTTCAAATATCTAACAGTTAACTTAAGTATCGTGACTCATCGTTTCCCTATCTTCCCCTTCTACCATAACCTATCGCCAGTCATGTTTGTGATAAGCATGCTTACACATTATTTTCATTCATTTTCAATTTAAATAAATAAATGTCATACACGCATATAGTAGATGCACTGGGCCCAAACTCATAAGTTTTGCATTGTGCACAATAGAGGGTTAAAACAAAGGCTACAAGAGACAAAAAAGGACAGTATAACAATAAAAGGATCAATCCAACAAGAGGCTATAACCCTTGACTGACATAAAGACAGAGATCAGCAGTAATGCAATCATAGGAGAGGACTTGAACACCGCATTGACACCAACGGACAGATCTTTCAGACAGAAAATCAACAAGGAGACAATGGCCTTAACTGACAAACTAGACCAGATGGATTTAATTGGTATTTTTAGAGCATTTCACCCCAAAGCATCAGAATATACATTCTTTTCAAGTGCACCTGGGACATTTTCCAAGATGGACTACATGGTAAGCCACAAAATAAGTCTCAATAAAGAGGACTGAAATCATATCAAGCGTCTTCTCTGACCACAATGGTATGAAAT